CGGTACGGTGGTGTCCCACTTGTTGTTGATTTCTTTTAAACCGGTTAGTTAATCAATATAAAATCAACCTGAATCTAATTTTATTTTTGGTTAGTTAATGGAAGATGTGCGTGCTTATTTTTTTTTATTATTGATATCTGAGTTGTATTGACATGTTGTTAGACTAGTAGTAGTAGTAGTGTGGTGCGAACTACTTATAAGTAGTATATAACGTGAGTGTCAACGTAAAGTCTGGTAGCATAATACGGGGGGGAAGATCAAGAAATGAAGAGTTAGAAAACAATGGAATTTGTATCAAACGCATGAATAGTGACAATGGATTGATGTTTGGCAACAGAAACACTCCAGTTCCATAGGATGAACTGATCTTTTGCAAATGAACGATTTACGATATGGTTTTCCGATTTTACTGAGTAACACTGTAATTTTCGTTAAATACAATTCGGTTACCCTGTCTGTGTTCTTATTCACTACAGTAGTAGTACAGTAGCTCGAAGTTATTTAAATTGAATTTAGTGAAACAAGGATTGAATTTATAACTTATTTAATTGTCAGTACACAACGTCTTTAAGTGGATAAAAATAAGGATTAGGGATTAATCATTATTTATTGTTCATCTTTGTACGTGAACACACTAATGACTAACTAAATTTAGTTCAGTTTAACATAATCTAGTAATAATATCTCTGTGTGTTGTGATGTACAGAGAAGTGTCCATATCAGATGGAATAGTAGTGTATTGAGAGAAGATAAAGTGCTTACATTTTTTGATCTTCAGACGTCCATTTGCAAAAAAAAACAGATGATTAACACACACTGATCGCGTCATACATTCGTATCCGATACTTTTTTCTTCAGTAATTACTTGTGGTTGGTAGTTCAATGAATACTACTTGTAAACCACGTTGATAGTAGTCTCTATCACAGGAAAAAAACACTAACTTTATCCATAATCTCTTGAACACCTAAGCTGATAGTCTAAATTCATTATACAGTGTATACAATCTGAAATGTTAAATTTCAAAAATCCTTGTCTAAACTCCAATTTTCGAGAATAATTTTCTAGCTTGTGTTTTTATAATTTTATCATTATGATTATTGTTTAAGTATGATTTTCTTTCTTTGCTCATTGATCAACATATTTCAAATTGTACTACTGACCATTCCTTATTCACTCGCCGTAATAAAATGTGATGTGTGTGTGCGCAGACACTTTTATATTCGTTTATCTTATTGTTTAGAATTTTTGGAAAAAAATAATTTATTTACACATGTTTACTGATCTGGCCAACATGAATTTTTCAACAAAAGTAAACTACCTTTTTATAACGGAAATCCTCCTTTATTATTATTATTATTATTATTATTATTATTAATACTCTGTAAATACCGTATTTTGACAGAAACGTGCTCAAACTATTCTATCCGTGTTTTTATTTTCTTTATGTGGTGAGGGGGGGGGGGCGGAGGGGTGACATAGTCCTATTGTTTACTGGGTAATTATTGTCAATTTTTGTTTGCTCTTACCAGTTAATACATTTTACATGTATATGTCTGGTCATGTCTATATAAGTCAATCGGTTAGGGTTTGTGCTCTTGTTGTTGTTGTTGAACAACCATTGGACTTGTACAACTGATGAATACTGCAATGACTTACATCGTATTTAATATACATATATCTAGTTCAAAAGTTTTTGTTCTGTAGTCATTTCTCTATTCTTCTCATTGTTATTCTCTGCCTATTGGTTTGTTCATGTATGTGTGATGTATAGGAGGAGGAGAAGGAGCAGCAGCAGCAGAATGAAGCTTCGAAAAGAAACAAACTCTTCAACGGTAAACTCCTGGATGCTAATCATTTATTACTTATGAAGGTAATTGCTTCATTGTTTATTTGTTTGTTTTGTTTGCAAATTATCATTTCATTAAATATACACATGGATGCATAAAGCATGATTTGAGTAGAGAATTGAAGTTGGATAGTGATGAGAAATAGTGAATCGATCATCTGGTAGATTGAACAAGTGAATTGTTTTTGTGTAAAACTAAATCGTCCTCGAGACGAAAGTCACCAATGGTTAGAGATCTTGAATGACATGGCTGAAAATCGTTTGCAATGGCGTAAGTGCATCCATTCGTTGTGTTCTCTCAAATCCTAATCTTCGGGATTGGTCAGTACCTCTACCTTTGTCTTTCTAACCTTATCTCACTGAATTAAACTTCTTGAATAATATCTTCAAACCCTAGTCTTCTTCATTACCATTAATACCTCTACTATCTTTATCACCATGGGATTTAATTTGACATTTGCGTCTCTGTGTTAATGTGGTATGGCAACCTGAACTGATGTACATACGTACGAAGTTCTACGTTGCAATTGACTGAAAACTAAATCGTCAAATGTGCTCACTAGTGATGACTAGCGTCGTGAGGAAATTATCGGGGTTCTAGTGAGAAAACATGACTAGTGGAGTTCAATCCTGTCGGGTGTAGCCAGTAACTATCGAAAGCAAAAGGGTTAGGTCGCGCAAAAAATCTGTCCCAAGACCGAAAGTCCAGGGTTCGAATCCTGCGAGGTGCAGGAGTCGTGGATACGCACTGCTGAAGAGTTCCACACCAGGACGAAACGTTAGTCCAGTGCTTCCAGATTTCTTATGGTGGTTTAACAATGATTGATTGATGATTTCAATGTGTATAAACATTATAGGAAATTCGATGACAGTATTTTTCTTACTCTAGAACAACTAGTCCTAACAGTCTATATATATATATATATATATATATATTTCCAGCTTCATTTAATCGGTAGTACATTTTGACAAACATTATCTAATGTCTATTGATTAAGTTATGATGAATTGCCCATTCAATTACAATTTGTTATTATTTGAAGTCTGGCAATTGATATGAAAACTCAGTCAGTAATTAGCATATTATTAAACTTGCTATTTAATTCGATTGTTTGTGGATAGTTAATTGAATTTGGTCATACATAAATGATAGGAATCCATTAAACTGATATTATCGTGATGATTAATTTTTCATATCAATCAATAATCTATCTATAGTAATCCTGCATCAGATTAGAATTGTATATACTACATCAATCAGTGAAGTGATTAACTATCGGTTCGAGCCACTGTTGATTAAAAATGCTGACTGTTTTTTTTTGTGCGGTGTTTCAAATCTGAACTTGATACGCGCTAACCCTCAAACTGACTACTTGAGAGAGAAGAGAAAGTCTATTTGGCTATTGAATCATATACATAATTACTCATTTACGTAGATAAACTTTGCGCCCCCTTAGAAAATGAATCCATTTATTGATTAATAATAATATGCATTCGTCTTTTGGGATATTTCTGATGGTTATCAAATGGTTTGTTCATATGGTGGTAACTTGTGATCAGGTTATTATACCACAAACTACTTAGTGACTAAGGTTCGCGTAATAACCGTTATTAGTCTTTAGGTACTTTTGGTAACGTGATTTAAGATCGTTTATAACAGCGTAAATGCATTCATTCTTTACTTGATTTCTAATATCTTTTCGTACATGCCTTTTCACTGTCTTCTGTAAATATATTGAATGGTCAGTCAGTCACATGCAACGTAGAACTTCGTACGTAAGTACATCAGTTCATGTTGCCATACCACATCAGCACAGAGATGTAATTGTCAATTCAAATCCAATAGTAGAAGAGGTAGTAAAGGTATTAGAAGTAATCCGAGAGGTTAGGATAAGAAGATATTATTCAAGAAGTATGATTCAGTGAGAAAAGTTTAGAAAGTAAAAGCTAGAGGTGTTAAAGAATCCAGAAGATTAGGATTTGAGAGAACACAAAGGATAAATGCACCGGCGCCATTGCGGACGATTTTGAGCCATGTCATTCAAGGTCTCTAACCATCGATTCTTATCAACTCGCGGACCCCAACCAGGTAGTCGACAATTACCGACATGGCTAAGTCCACTCGTCAACGACTTCATGGATTTATGCCATGTTTTGGTCTGGCCGCCCCTAGCTTTCTTCCAACCTACTCCTACACTACAAAACAAAGCTCTTCGAGGCAGTCGGTGGTTAGGCATAGGCAACACATGTCCCAACCACCCCAAATGATGAAGTTTCATTACTTCATCTATTGATCTTCCATTCCTACGTAGCACCCGATTTCTAATGACAGCGTTGCTCACTCGGGTGTCCCGAGGAATATCTTCTAATCCGACTGGCCATGTTTCACAGCCATAAAGTAAGACGGAGCGAACCACTGCGCAGTACACTCGTCCTTTAGTCAGCAAACGGATATCTCGCCTACGCCATGAGTGACGTAGGTTGGCAAAAGCCAATTGAGCTTTCTGTATCCGAGCTGAGATATCGTCAGTCACCAGGCCTTCGGCACTGATGAGACTACCCAGATAAGTGAAGCGGTCTACACGTTCGACCACTTCACTCCCTATCACTAGTTCAGGTGCCGATGAAACCCAATGTTGAAGCAACATTTTTCATTTCGAGGGGGAAAACCGCATTCCGAACATGCTTGCATTGTTGCTTAGGGTGGTCAGAAGACTCTGCATTTTGTCAGCGTCTTCACCAAGTAGGACTATGTCATCGGCATATTCTAAGTCAACAAGCGAGCCCCCTGGTAGAAGGTCTACTCTTGAAAATTCAGACGAGGATAATGTTGTTTCTAGGACCATGTCTATGATTAAATTAAACAAGAATAGAGAAAGTGGACATCCCTGACGGACACCACTTGAAGTAAAGAATTCCGTTGACAGTTTGCCATAAGCTCTCACTCGACCAGTGGTGTTCGAGTGTTGAGCTTGTATGAGGTTAATGTACTTCTTTGGTACACCTTTCAATGACAATGATCAACTTATTAAAGTCCCAACCGCAGCTGCTACTTTGACATGGCGGTCGAGCTTGCCAATCGTAATGACCCAACCAAGCTATATTGGCTGGAATATATGTTCCTTTAGGTCGTACCATGCTAGGCAGGCCGATCGGAGAACAGTATGACTAAAAGCAGCATCTCAGGCTCTGAGGGCAATGTCGTACTGCTAACTGTAGAGTGGTGTAATAACACTGTGTTTCCCTTGAGCAGTAAGAATCTGGAGCGATGCTCTCTTCTGAACAGAAGGAAAGGGTTAGAAAATATTGACCCTTAGAATGTCACACCCCACCTCTCCCCAGCAATTTCCATCTCCCGCGGTAAGTCCTTTTGATGAGCGGAGCCAACACTTCCAAAGCGTACCATAAAAATGCCATGCGTCATCAACCTTAAACAGTTGTCCGTTGGGCTCTGTGGTCACGCTGCCAGGTCACTAAAACCAAAGTCAATCCGATTTCTCTTTCAGGTTCCTCAATAAACACCCTTTTACTACGTGGGCAGCCGAGAAACGACATCTTCCTTCATACCCGTAACAACACACGAGGTCAACTCGAACCTACTGAAATTTTCATGCATTTTTGAACTGTGACGTTTATTGTCTAATTCGTTATTCCTTTTGAAAAAATTAATATGGTCAATATGTTGTGTAATGTGATGATTAGAGACCTTGAACGGCATGACTCATAGTCGTTTGCAATTGCGCAGGGTCGTCCATTCTTTGTGTTCTCCCAAATTCTAATCTAAACTCTTCATGACCTTCATCTTTTTCGTCTCCAATCTATTTAACTGGATCATACTTCTTAAGTAATAACTTCGGATCGTGATCTCTTCGATTACTGCTCATACTCCTACTACCTCGAATACTATGGGATTTCAGTCGACAATTGCATTTCTGTGCTACCGTGGTATGGCGATTTGAACTGATGTACGTATGTACTAAGTTCTACGTTGTAACTGACTGACTAACTGACTAAATGTTTTTTACTGCTATGTTTCAGGAATCAATAATTTAATATATATATTTCTGATCATATTGTCTCGTAATTATCAATATTTTTTCACTCTTTATTTTACTTTGAATAGCTGTTGGAACTTCTTAAACTCCCATGTTCTCCACTTGTCACAACTACAAATCAATCATCTACAAATACAAATACCTCTGATCCAGTTGGCGTTTCACAACAATCCTCCTTACAAGAATCCTCTGATACGATGAATACATGTATGCAAAGTACCATTATATATATATATATATATATATATATATATATAGCGAATACACTTCTCCAAGTATAACTCGATAGTTGATATTACCTGCAGTCTTGAGCTTATGTATTATGCACAAATCCATGAAGTCACTGACAAGTGGATCGTGTCATGTTGGTAGATGTAGACTACCTGGTTGGGATTCGCGAGACGATAGTAACCGATGGTTAGATACCTTGAATGTCATGGCTCAAAATTGTTTGCAATGGCGTAGTTGCACCCACTCTTTGTGTTCTCTCAAATTCTAACCTTCTGAATTCTTCATAACCTTTCTTCGCATTTTAAATTTACTCCACTGGTTCGTATTTTCTCAAATCCATATCTTCTAAGCCTAATCTTCTCCATTATCGCTAAAACTTTTAAGACCTCTACAACTATGCGGTTTGAATTGAGAATTCGATTTCTGTATGCTTTGTTTCGTCAACTTGAACGGATGTAAATACATACGAAGTTCTCCGCTGTAGCTGATTGACTGATTGACTGACTGTCAATAGTTAAAGATGTATTTTGTTCAAAAAAGAAGAATAGAATATTGATTACGTCTTATCATCCATCACAGAAAGTTACTTTTTGATCGAAAATTCGAACGAACGTAATTAGTCTTTTCGTTTTATGATAAGTTAATTGTTAATCAACTTGTAGTGTGTGTACTTTTATCTAGAGCCCGCAGGGCATATTCCAATCCCTGGGACAAATTAACTCATTCTGCCCGAGTAACTATTCCCTTGTCTTTTGACCTTGTCATCTGTTCACTTTTATCTTGGTTGTTTCTATTCAAGAATCTGTGTGTGCATTGCTTACTTCGCCTATCGCATGTCTGGCCTATTTTTGTTCGACTATAAATTAACTAGTCATGTCCTATTTCATGGAGTTGGCTCGCTCGCTGTTACGCTCGTCTTAGTTGAATAACGAGAACGAAACAATGAAGCAGCGTCCAGGTAGGATACTGTGATCCCTTCACCAAACGGTATCAACAAGAAGTCTTGATACAACGTAGAAATTGTATTCTACAAACACCCAGCCAGCACACAATGAATCCAAGCACTCAAATTGCGTTTATTTATACTCTATGGAGACATCCTTGGGACAGTCACAAAAATAGCACATTAAAACGACACAGTAACCAATCACAGCCAAGGATTTTCCTGGTGGAGAATGTGATCTCAAAGTCAACTGATCGGTCCATGAAATAAATCCAAAATAAAGATATTTAATTTATCAAGCAAGTTCTGGGGATCTCACATCCCCAACACACTTGCCTTCTTCATTTCTCTTGGCTTTGCTTTAACGCTTTGTATTCTCGTGTGTCTGCTTAATTGAAAACATGAACAATTACTTGGAATCAATTCATCGAACCGAATGTGTATTCGGCTTCTTACTACTGCGGTCGCACAAACAGCATTCGCCTAAGTATGATATACAGAGACTGAAGGGGAGCTTTTTTTTCATAGTATATTCAACTGTCCGTTCAAACTGGATCACGGGCTAAACAAAAATTGGTTAACACGACGACAAAACATAACGCGGTCAGCATCAAAATATAAATATAATTGTACAACTTGATAGTACTAAACATTGTCCTTGGAAAGAACGTATATTTTTTTCTCATTGGGAATTGTGTTTTATTCTTTTTTCAATGAAACTATCGATTATTATTATTATTATTATTATTATTTGATCATTTCTCTTCAGCTGAACAACTCATTAAATTAGATAGTGAAACAATTCAAAATGAATCATCTATGAATACTAGTCAATATTCAATTGCATCTGATACTGGTGAATATTCAAACAAATGGAAACGACCATATAACAACAATGAGAAAATGAATAAATCAACACCTAATTTAGGTGATGAAGAAGTAGTACTATTGTGTAATGAAAAAGTAAGCTGTTTTTTAAAATCAAGGTTTATACTTGTTTATTAATCTTCTCCTAATGTACTTATTAATGTACTGTATATATATACTGTTTAAATGCGCGTTAGAATCTCATTGAAACTCATACTCATGTTATGTAAATCATCATATCTGTCGTGTGAATGCATGTGTGTTTGTGTCTGTATGTATTTCTATTCAAGTTGCCATACTATTTAGTCAACCACTTCATGATTTGTTGCAATGTTTTTTTGACCTCTTTTATCCTTTTTCCAACCTATTCTTACCTACCTCGGACAATATCACTAGTTGAGGTTATTTGGCATACATAACAAGTATTCATTATAGAGAGGGAGAAAAAATTAACAAGATATGTGTTGTGGGATGTTAGATCCCCCAGAACTCGCTTGATAAATATCTTGGATTTATTTCATGGACCGATCAGTTGACTTTGAGATCACATTTCCCACCAGGAAAATCCTTGGCTGTGATTGACTGCTGTGTATTTTAGTGTGCTATTTTTGTGACTGTCCCAAGAGCGTCTCTATGGAGTATAAATAAACGCAATTTGAGTGGTTGGATTGATTGTGTGCTGGCTGGGTGTTTGTAGAATACACTTGCTACGCTATATTAAGATTTCTTTCTGGTACAATTAGGTCAAGGGATCAGAGTAGCCTACCTGGACGCTGGTTCATTGTTTTGTCCTCTTTATTCGACTAAGGTGAACCCGTAATGTTTTAAGCATAAGCGTAACAATATGAAGCAAAATAGATCAATTAATTTAAATTACAACTGAAATGATGCATCTCTCATTATTAGACCAGCAATAGAAACCTGGAAGCACTAAATGGCCGTTTCATCCTAGTGTATTAGACTCTCATTGTCAGTACGCATCCGCAAACCCCGCTCGCCGGAATGGAACCTAGGACTTTCGGTCTCGCGCGAATGCTTAACCTTTAGACCACTAAGCCGGCTTCCAATATGTTGTGCAATCTCAGTACTTCCACGTTTCTAATGGTGATCTAACAATGATCAACTCATCTTTTCACTAAAGTTCAACAATCTTCATAGCTATATCATAAAAGAAACCGTAAATTAAAACATTAATCTAATCATAAGAATGAGTGTGATCGAAAAGTGAAAAGAAATGAAAGTGGTAGCCAGAAGGAAAAAAATAATCAATGGAACTTCATCACTTCTGTTGATAGTGTGTCATGTCGTTCACTGTTCCCAATCGCAGACTACAATTATTTTACTGACTTCTAAGAAATTAACCTGGATCTACCGATAATGCCAGTGAACAGCAATCATTCAACGATTTTTATATATTCCTCTGTTTATTCTATTTGGTTTCTTTCAAGTAGGTGATTTGAATGCACAACTTTGCTGAGGTGATTGTGCACCTCTGAGTTAAGATAGATCTCCTTAATAATATCAATAAGTATGTATGATTTACTCTTTGAA